ACGTCTAAAGTTATTTAAACAGAACTAGGTTCGGGTGATTAAACTCGGATCTAAAAATTTACCCGGTTCTCGGAACTGGACAAAACTAGGGTTTTAAATTTTTGAATAACCTAACTCATTTTAAGTCGAAACTTAAACTCTAATCTCTATATGATTCATAAGGAATTTACATTCCTGCAACTAAATCACATTCGGACTAATTTCTAAAATTATCACAATATACGGTGAAAGTCCTGATTTATCAACTATATCAAATGACATCCAAAAATCACAAAATTTAATACATAACATCTTCAGCATAAGCATGGTTTTTGGTCAAAATATCAAATTCATTCAACGTACAACTCATCCAACTAAAATCGTGTATTATCGATCCAAATTCACAAAATCGGTTAGCATATCAAACGAACTCCAAAATTCACCAAATTCGAACCTAAGCCTCAAGAAAATTCAATATGATTTATAAAATTATAAGCACCTTTTTATCACTTATAATAACCGAGATCTAAAAATCATCGCTTCAAGCTCGTAAAATCCCGATAAATTCAAATCTTGCTCAAATTCACCAATTTTCATTTTTATAATAAACTGTAAATCATTTATAAGCTCATGGAGGAAGGTTCAAGCCAATATACCTCAAATCAGTCGGGATGTAAATGGATCGGGTCGGGTCGGGTACGAGTTTTGACAAACCCGAAACCAACCCACATGTAATTTACCCTACCCAAACCCGACCCGTTACCCGACTAGTGATCTTCGGGTTCGGGTTGGATTTTACCCGGTGGGTTAATGGGTTTTCATCGGGTAATTAAACGGCAACCCGAGTTCTTAAATTTGAGCTTTACCCGACCCATCTCGTTTCATATGAAAAAATAAAATAAAATAAAATAAGCTCACAATTAATTATAATGTAACAAATAATTTATTAACTAGGTTCGACAATAAATAAAATATTATTTTTAAAATAAATAATGAGATATAATTATTTATCTTTTATCGTTTATTTAATAATATAACGTTTAGAAATTAAGTATTTAAATATTTTATTGTACAATTAAAAAATTGATAATAAAATCATAAAAAGGAAAATAAAATTTAACTATTAATCAACATTATAATAAGTAATTTAATTTTTAATATTAATAACACATGGCTACTTTTATATTTATAATAAGTTATATATATAAGATTCAATAGTTGCGGGTAAATGGGTAGGGTAATCGAGTTGGGTGATGAGTTTTTCTAATACACCCGCACCCGACCCGACCCAACCCAGGATTTGGGTAGCATAATTTTACCCAACCCAACCCGAAACCCGATTATCTCGGGTTTACCCGACCCGAAAATGTGGGTAACCCGCGGGTATACCCGACCCTATGAGTTTTATTGACATCCCTACAAATCAGGCTCCAAATAAAAATCAGAAATCAGAGAAGACTCGTTAAAATGGATCGACTTAACCGGATCGAGTCGGGACAGACGGATCTGGTACGGGTCAACCGGGTTTGTGGCGTGCTGGTTTGGTTCCGTGGTGCTGGTCACGGATCTGGTCGTCTCGGGCGTGCTCATCAAGGATTTGGACCGAGAGGGGCTCGGTCGGGTTAGACGGGTGTGTACGGAATGCCGGTGCTGAGGACGCACGAGGTTCTGCTCGCTGGCGTACGAACGCCGGGATGGTGAGGTGTTGGGGCCACGCGTACGAATCTGGCTCGCTGGTGGTGCGTACGGAACGTGATGTATGGGACTTGCAACGGATGACACGAGGCTGTACGGGCGCTGAACGTGCGGGCTCTTTGCTGGGAGGTACAGATGAGGCGTACGGGCGGTGGGTCAACGTGTACGGACACGGGCAAGGCTGGCTACAAGCTGTACGGACAACGAGCTGGGAAGGTGCACGACGTACGGCTGCTTGCTGCTTCTGGCGACTTGAGCTGGGACGAGCTGAACGGGTGATGGTGAGGTGTACGGACGACGAGAGGGGCTGAGCTTATGCATGTGGATCCGGTCAGACTCGCGCTCATGGCTGGGAAGAACGACTTGGTGCTGAGTGTTTGTCCCATTTTTGTGTCTTTATTTTCGCTTTATTTTCGCTTTATTTTT